GTGAAGGTAACAACAATGGGAAGTGCTTGAAAGGTGACCTATCTGTGCACATATTTGCAATTCTCTCCAAGACAGGGAGATGCATTTTGGCATCATTTATCATATTCAACCATACATCAGAATCAAAATTTCAAATAAAGACAATAGAGAAGATAAGCTAAAACCATTATCTGCCATTTTAAGCTTTTATTTTTTTTTTTGTTTCTATTTATTAAAATTGCAAATGTTAGGTGAACTTATTTTACCAACACTAAAATACATGACAAGAAAATTCCTAATTGTCAAATGAGAATTATCCAATGTAGCAGATATAAAATTAACTCTCAGGAAGTCTCAAAAATTTAACTATTCAAGCAAGGAAAATAGAGTAACTTTTTGTGAATTCCCAGGCATGTCATCATTAAGTAATGTGTTCTGGATTTAAATTTATTCTTAAAAATTAATAATATCTGTATTATTGAAATTTAAAAAAAAATCAAGAAAAACATTATATTCTGTAAAGTTTGTAAGTTAATTTTTATAGAAAGTTAAAAAAAATCAGAAAATCTCTAGCAACTAATTATTTTAATATTTTATGGGGTTTGTATGTATTTATGAATCTTTCAACAATTGATTTCACAATAGCAAAGGGACAACTTCAAAAGTGAGATAACTTTTTCTTTTGCTTACAGTAAAAAAAAAAAAAAGTATGATTAACAATATCAGAAAATAGATCTGGCTACAGTGCAACAAGTAAGACAATGTTACTTTCTGGCCTTGGGAAAGGTGTTTATTGATAGTTTTTTTCTCTATTGAAAAAGCAATTACAGTCCATAGGCTRCATTTAGATACAATTATATCAACCTCAGTTAAATGCTTGGACAAATGCCATGCTACTCTGAGACCTGTTGCTCTATCAATTCACAGAAAACGTGCATTCATTTTTTATTAGTCTTGAATGATGACTGACCTTCACACAAATTTCCCCTAAAGATCCCTAATTAAAAAATCAAACCACTAAAAGAAATTATTAATGTTTCATTAATGAATGCAATAGTACACAGCAGCATAGAAATAAATTACCTGAAAGAAATGTGACTCATCTGCATGGTATCATCAGGTGAGTCTGCAGTATTTTGTAAAATCTATGACCCTTTAGCAGAACCTTTAAAACAATTTTGTAACAATGCAAACTCTCCTGGTAGCTAACAATTTGCCAGCTGCTCACAGTTTATTTCCATTATTTTAGATAAAATAGKAGCTGATTCAAATCATCCATCCTGTCAGACGGTACCTTGTCATATCCTTAACTTATGGATCTCACATTAACATAGACTCTAGGTGTAGAAAAATTTCTGACTACAATTAGTAAACAAAATTTATTAAAGAAAAGAAGAAAAAAATCTGCATCTTCATAGATAGATAAACTGCCTAGCACAATAGTCCTTCTCYTTGAATTTCAGATGTTCATGGAAGGCACTAGAAATTGTGAGGATTAACTCTAAAATAAAAATATTGATTTTGGAATGGCAAATATTAAAACCTTCCCCGGGAATAATTCTTTCTACTTCACATGAAACACGCCTTATTTTAAGCTATCTCCTCCCCCATGATAATTTTCACCAAATTCAGTGTTAGGCTATCCTGGTTAGTACAGGCTATTGAAACATGTGTCTAAAAAGACTGGCAATTGCCTCACTGTACATTGTTGTCAGGAACACAATACAGCAAACTTTTGTGAGCATGATTTCAGGTAATTAAAGAAATATGTTTAAAAGCTTATATAAAGATATTCTACAATTCTGCCATCAATRGTGATGAAGCTCCTACATGGTTTAATTCAGCATTTTTCATGGCATTTCCTAACTGCCCTGGGAGAAAAATGTGTACCTGACCTAACAGCGGTTTTATCTTCCAACACAAGACACTCCAACTAAGGCATACACTTCCCATAAAATAAAGCCTCTCTACAGGCAAGGATTTCATCTGGATTAGTAAAAACACTGCCTTCTATGCTTTGAGCTCCACAAAATGTTATCATCCCACTTTGGTCATATGCCCTGGAACTGCAATCTACCTTGGCTATCTGCTAAGCAGCACAGTGCTGAACCTACCATGTTTCTTTCTCTTGGAAAGCAAGGCTTTCTTTTTGCACACAGAAAGAAATCTCTTCAATACTTACTGATGCAACTGATGCTCAAATTTAAATGCTCCCCATGATCGTTTGAATGATGATTTGTGCTGTATGGAATCGCTATAGGTACAACTGCTGCAGGACCCTCACTATCTTTTTTTTTTTTTTTTTTTTTTCAGACGCCGCTAAAGAAACCGATGATTTCTGTTTTTAGTGTTTAACACTTTATTTGGCTTATACCCTTTTATGCATTTTATTTTGGTACTTCTAACTGTGTAACATGAAAGAAGAAACAACRTTTCTTTGCATCTTTTTAGTTAGGGAAACTAGAACTGTTTTACACCAAAGGAAGTGCTCTAAATTAAGAACTAGGTCTTTAGCCCATACACTCACATTAAACAGCACTTCATTCCTAAGGAGCCATTGACTTTATTTAGATTTTTCCACAGGATGCAGATCTGGATGCTGCTGGAACGTTAAGTGCCCGTTTAAAGTCTGTCCTACACAGAGGAGCATGCAAATTGATTCAGACTCAACAAACAGAAGAGATACTGTTCTGAACTAGAAACACAGCAATAGCCTTTCGTTCCATACCAGTGCAGCAGGGATAAAGCAAACCCTTATAATCACATTATTTGAAGATTATTTATTTAAACAGATTAAAAATTACTTTTACTGTAGCTGCTTGTTTGTAAAATTTAACAATAGTATTGTTCCTCAGTTACAAATTTTATTTTTAYGCCTTAAGAGTTTATTCTCAGAGACATTCAGTGTCAGTTGCTAATGAAAACACTTGCTTTGTAGAATCCAGGTAAAAGAAAGATAAATGCAGTCATTTATCCAGAATGACAGAAAGAACAAAACAAAATCAACCAAACAAAGAAAAACAAACAAACAAAAAAATTAAACCTAAGAAATTAGGAGTAAAAATGAGGAAAAATAGCCAAAAAACCCCCAACCTGAAACAAAAAAAGCAAAGCCTGTGGGACTTGTCTGATTACATATACAATCAAAGCACATGATTCCAGATTATTTAAATTACCTGTGACAAAAGGACAGCTAACTCTCTGTGAAATGTCAATCATCCTTAGTTGGAATAAACTTACTGCTACAAAACATAGCCTTAATCCCAAAGGAAATCAGGGTAAAATCCTCAAAAGTTACTACTCTAACAATGACACTTCCAGGAGAAACAAACTCCACATCAACACACTAATATCAATGAGTTAATAAGTTATGCATTAAATATGCAAATAATATGGGGGAGTATAATTGGGGAAGCAAATAATCCATTATTTTCTACAGAGCCTTTGCAAAACTTAGGAGAGAAAAACTGYAAAAGAAAGCCTTGCTGTGAAAAGGGGGATAAAAAAATTAATATGCATTTCATGAAGACATTTAAAKAACAAGTTCAGCAGGATATTACCGATATTACAGCAGAATAATGAAAGCCATATTTCTGAGTGATAAAATCTTTTAATAAATAATACCAGATTGGTGTTGGTGGAATAATGATGCCACGGTGTATGTTGCTAATTGAACAACTACAGCTTGAGCTTGAACTCATGAGTTCTTTCTATCCTGTCCTGTCTACTGAGGAGTCCGACTGGTAAAAGGAGMATCTATATTCCATACAAAGGACACAGACCTGCATTAGTAAACTGCATTTGTTCAGCATGAAACAGTCAAAGGCTAATGTCAGATCTCTCAAGCAAATAAACCCAGACTGCGGAGACAGTGTAACCAGTGTGCTCCCATTGTTTCAGAGAAAAGCTTCAAAGAATTCACCTTGAGACATTCATAATCATGGGATGGCTAATTTGATACATTTTTTCATTAATCTTTCACACTTTTTGCCCTGCTAACATTCTACCAATTTATTTTTGGTTTCTGCTTTGTATCTTTTTAATATACTTGCATTCAGAGATACATGTATGTGGCAACAGCAGCAATTAAATAATAAAACAGACGTAATAGCATTCACRAAACATTTGCATAAACAGATATCACATTACTATGCTTCACAAGATTTAACATGAAATTCTATGATAATTTTATTTAGCTCAAAGGGAGACCAGAATGTTTATGATATTTTCACATAAATCTCAAAAATATCTCTACAAAATATAATTACAATATCTATAAAAATGCCTATAGAAATGAATACTGAATGTTTTATATTATTTTTGTAGCTATTTCCTAATATTAAATAAAACCTTTGCATTACTATAGTTCTTAACCTTACAGTATTCTTCTATAAAAGGCTTTATATATATTTCAAATAATTGTAGCTTCTCACGCACAAAATTCAATACGATRCTTAAATAAGGGATATGACACATCATGTAAAAACAGTAATATATAAACCACTCKTATTGCACTGCTCCATCTCTGTTAACATGATATGCTGTTAAAACTATTGACCCTCACAGCACTTATGATGTTTAGTGCTGYGCTACCATAGGAAGGAACCAAAGCACCAGAGGATAAAAGATAACTCCTCTACAGGCAAAGTCCTTCCACAAGTATTTTATCAGCTCCACAAGCAATACTCAGATACAGAAGTACATTGAGGTATCTGTGGTCCGGCAGAAACCACTGCTGGGGTCATTCCTCCAGCATTCAGTGGCTCCAACACCCATRGGTGAGTGACAAGAAACACTACCACAGTCATGAATATAACTTAATATCTTATTGCTGATTTTTAGGTGAGTATTGCTAATATTTACTCAAGCATATTAAAAAACATTCAGTCTTAACAGTATAAAATGAAATACCAATCCAGGGGAGTAAATGCATACATATGTGTGAATGCACCCGCACACACACACAGACTGTACTTTTTCATTGTAAAGAACAACTTAAAGAAGAATTAAAAACTACTTACACCAGAATAGAAAGGCTCACCAGACACACAGATCACATCCTGCTCCTGGATCATCAAAATATCTTTGGCTAAGTGCAGTCGCACTTTGAAAGGCTCCTGGTTACCATCCTGCAGCAAACAAACCCCTGTCTTTGTCTTTAAAGGAAGGAATAAAGAAGAAAAAATATTTTTTTTTAGTCAGCACCTAGCATTGTTAGTATTTTGATTCAGAATACTTGATRGATAGGTACAGTCAGCATAAATACATTAACAATCACCCAAAACTATTTTCAGTGATGACTTGTATTTACTGTGTTAAGACTACAAGAGAAAAAGTGTTATAGTAGCAAAGTAGCAGATATAGTAGTAAAGGCAAATTTAGCAATAATAAGTGCTATTTCACCCAYGATGATTTTGTGAAACTCCTTTCAAATTGCTTCAAATCAGCTTTGCTCTTACTTTCCATCTTTTCATTGAACGATAACACCACACTTGGACATGAAATAAAAGCTGATCCTCCATATMTGACACCATTTTTGACACAGAAATATGTACAATGACACCTCCAAACTAGCCAGATGTGAGTACCAACAGCCACATGAACCCAGTTGGGGGCGACTTATTCCTTCTCTGTGAATGCAACCTTGATTTAACTTTTTAATATTCCTTTTGAGATGAGGATGCTGAGCTATAAAGAGAAAATAAATCAAAGATGCAACTTCCTGTAGTAATCTAGTTCTTGCTCCATTTACGGATTTTATATTTATGACTAAAGATCAGTAATTCTGTAGGAGTCTTCAATACATAATAAATGATTTTGCAGCAATTAACAGTGCCTCTGTGGTAGTACCTACTTGTGCTGTCTTTTGGGGCATTATATATGAGAGGGTTGAGCACTGGAAAAGTTGGCTCTGAAGGCTACGTTGARGCCTTCAGGGAAGGTTGTTGAAGTAACACTATGACAAAGTGTTACTCTTTATAACACTTCTTTAATGGTAAAGATTCCTATTGGCAGAGGCTTTTAAAAAAAAAAAAAATCAGAAATCTGCTTTAAAAAAATCTAAAAACTTAGCCTTAGAAGTAATTTACCAGTGTAATGTATTTGCATACATACATATATAGATATGTATCTATATACATATATAAATACAGATATTTCAATATATACACATGTATCTCAAAAGAAAATCATATATAGAAAGTATTCAAAACCTTGGACTCATCAATGCAATAATAAAACTTTCACTRTCTTTATAGAGGTCAGATTGCAATCCACCATTTGTAAAAAGTTGGCTTAAGAAGAGATCAAGGAAAGAAAAGTATTTCTGTGAACTTTAAGTGCCAAGGTTGACCTGGCTGAATCTGAGGGCTCTTTCTCAGACAAGAATTTAAAAGAGGATTTGGAAGATCTCCCCATAATGTGCTYTTACATCCATAGCATGGAGAGAACAAATACAAATATGGAACTGACAGTAGGCCACTGGCAAAAGAGCAGTTTAAATCTCTCTCATGAGGCTTTAAAAGAGGTGGAAAGGTCGAGGACAATCTTTAAATAGCTCTATATACTGTTCTCCACTGACAAACTGTTCTGTCACTTCTGCTCCATACTCAACACTCAAATTTTGGAAATTGTTTTTTCTTGAATGCCAGGAGCAAATGGGTATAACTCAGACATGATTTTAAAAGTGGCTCTGGCATTGCTTTTATTCTTTTTAAACTAGGTAAGAAAAAGAAAATAATGCAGAGCTCTGTGCTTTGAACTGCCACAGAGGTCAGTCAAACCTCTGGTCAACAGTCATGTTACACCATTTTTTCTAATGTTAAGGTGTCTTTCTGCAAAAGYTGAGGGGCTACTTTGTAGGAATTAGTGGTAACCACAGCAGACACAATTAGACATTAGAATAAAATTAAAATTCCAGTCATTTCTAAATGTATGTGAGCTGAGCTTATTCATCCTGAACAAGCAAATCAAGCTTGGGAACAGCAAAATATTTTGGTCCTTGGAAAGATTGATCACACACACAGGGACCTTATTTACATCAGACATTCTAAAATGTAATGAACCTCTTTACTGTTGTTGCATTTTATGAAAGCTAATTTACAATACAGTTCAAAATTAAATCTTCAATTATACTACCTCCTTTTCCCTCCAACATGAGAGCAGCATTAACCATGCAAAGGAGAAGAATGTAGTTGAGTTTCATCAGSTAACTTCAAAAGAAGACCTTGAGAACAAAGACTGGAATTTAATTATGTTTCGTTTTTGTCTGCTGAAACCTKTTTTGCTTCTCTCACCCACCTCCTTCAAAATATTGCACAGAGTCAAATAAAGACATGAGTTCCTGTTCCAGAGCTGGAAACTAGGGAAGACAACCCATATACATACTTTCATGTAAATCGCTATGCACATCAACACTTTTTATTCTTATGGCCCCGTTAAAATAAGYCTGGTTGGAGGGAGATCAGCTGTCTACTCTAGAGCCCTGCCCGCTCTTAGATTTGAAGAGCGTAGCTGGTGTGCATGTGTGTATGTGAGATGTGGGAGTGCYGAGCTAGGGCTGATGTTAACTTTTGTTCCTGGTATTTATTTTTAAGAGATTGCATGTGARGCTGTGCTAAAACTTTATCCTTCAAGCCTTTTCCATGTCACTTACAGACGTAAGACACAAGCAGCACACAGTGTGAGCTGCTGTTGGTGCAAGGCATCCCCTTGTGCTCAGATGTGTGTTACAAGCCATCTCCTCACAGCAGACAGAGAGACGCACAGCTCAGCTGACAACAGTTTGTTGCACCAGTACACCTTGATCGAGCCCAAATCCCAAGAACATCACCTTATTTATAGAGTTGGGCTCCTGTTGCAACAATGGGAAGAAAACTGAGTGTTTGAAGCTGCACACTTATATGWAGTAGGGGAGGTGTGTCAAAGAATGCATATGGAAGCATTGTAAAGTGGTGAAAAAAATTAGTTTCCATGTGGGAAGCCTCTATAAAGCAAAGCAGTGATGAAGGAAGGCAGTGGTACCCAAGTAAGAGATGCAGTGAATGTTGCACTTGTACCAGGCTGCCTCTGTCATCTCATGCGACACCGCTTTAAGCAGAGTTAGATAAGAACACTAATATGGCAAGAGCTGATGTCCTTGGAACTGCTTACAGTTCCTGAACTCATAAAACTACAAGAGGGGCTGAAAACTGATCTCCCTTCGCTTTGCCACACCAACCTGTGGTGAACCTTCTGCTTCAGGTCATTATTGCAGAACAATACAGGTTGGCAGATCCCTTAAGGCAGACTGCTTCTCCAAAGAATATGGTCACACTCTGATCATTGTTAGCAACCAGGCAGTGAAAAAAAGGACACTTAAAAAACCCTGACTTACAGCACATTGTCCATATGGGCTGTCTATAAGATCTGGCCTAAAGATTCCTTTCCTAAAAAGAATTGAGAAATGCTTACATACGAAACCCAATATTTCACATTTGGTAGATGGACTTCACCAATATTTGAAAATTCGTTTCAGAAGAAATATACATGAAAACGACAGTTTATCCTTTTTTATGCTACCAAACACATACCAAAGTAAGTGCTGCAAGAGAAACATCATTTAAGTCACCTTTTGATTTAGAAAACAATTTCCCGCCGAACTTCCAACATAAATATTTTTGAAATTTATCTGGCCTAAAGTCTGCTGGCAGATTTTCTGTTGAAGATTTTTCTTTCTCTTTTATAAAATTTTATTTTATGTCCTTGTTTGTTTTTTGGTTTTTTGTTGTTTTTTTTTTTTTTTTCCTTATCACTTATGTCACGGAAAAAACATTTCCTATTTTCTGATTTGGAAGAGACTTTCTCAGTATTTCAGGCAATTTTAAATGCTCATAATTAGTTTTCAAGACATAGCTATCTTTTCCCTCATGGTAGTTTATCTAGGTCTTTTATCTTACAATAATAAAATAATTTGTTTAGCTTTGCTTCTAGTTTCAAATCACCAGGAAGACTTCAACAGTTATCCCAGAATAGCTTAGTCCATGAACAAGTGGAATAATGGATGAAAAAAAAAAAAAAAAAAAAAAAAAAAGAAAATCCCAGCATATTTTCTATGCAAGGTGACCTGGATTTTTGGTTTCTACTTTGACTGTTATGTCCTAAAATAAAGTAAGCCTCTGCAATTTGGTTTAAAGCCCCAAAATTTATTCTTGCTATCAAGAACATGATAGCAGTAAGGAGAATGGGTTGYGAAACTGCCTTAAATGCATACCTAGTTCCTTCAGATTAACATCTACCCTTTTGGATGCTTATTTGAACTGAGGCTGACCTCTGAGCATTTGGAGATATGTCTGTCACTGCTTTATAATCGTAAGTATGATAGTAAAAAAGGAAATTGAATCAGAGGTTTAAGGAGGTAATGGCAATGGATTTAAGGAGGTAATAGCAATGGATTCAAGAGGCAGGAATATTTGTGAGAACCATACAAAGGATGTTTTTTAAACAGTCCAACTGCACATTCTGTGGAGGTATTGCTAGCTTAAATGAAAAGCACTTATATTGTCAAAAACTGGAATGCAGCCCAGACACACAGAGATGTGTTCAGCTTGTCATTCAGAGCCTCTTCAATCAGATACCAACATTTTCCAATCCAAAGGACAGCAAGTCCATTCCTGCATATGAATTGTACACTCCACTCTGAAAGAACTGCAGAAAAATTCTGAATTTGGACTTGAATTTATTTTATTTATTCAATTAATTTGATTTGTCAGGTATTTGCCAGGTACATATTTGTAGTGGCATTCTTTCTAAGTGTTTTATTGAAAGAATGAAGTCTTCTAGAGAAAGGGCTTGTTTCATACAGTCTATAATACAACATATAAATTGGACATTTGGGAAAAAATACACATATATGAGCTTCTTACTAAGCTAAAGCATTTTTTTAGAGAAAAAAAAATTCTTTTTCTGATACTATAAGGATGCCACTYTGATGTCTGAATTGCCAGTTAGCTTACTGGGACTATGGAGTTGAGACTAAGAATAAGATAACATAAAATTGAAGACTGTTGTGAGATATGTTTCTTTAATTTACTGCCTATTATATGACATTCTAACAGACATTGTAAATYATCAGTCATTTGCCATCTTGTGATTTTGAGATTCAATTATGGGTTGAAGCTTCATTTAAGAAAAATCCCAGAAACCCACAATATTAGAAATCCCAGTATTGTTATTTAACAGGATTTATAAACAAATGAAAACAGCAGCTTGGTCTGAAATTTGTAAATCAGAAAATGGCATGAAGGTGACTAGAAACAGACCATAAAAGTATATAAAATGATTTAGGGAAGAAATTAATGAGGAAGTTAAATATGACTTAAAATTTAAATCATGTTTTGTTGCAGGAAAACCAYCCCCCTCCCAACTGGATGGACATTGAAATAGAGGTCACTACAACTTTGAATAACAGAATGTATCAAATTATAAAATTTGTGAAGTCTACAAGAATATTTATAGGATTCAAAAAGCAGAGGACAAACTGTTTACCAATTCAAATTAATCCTTCAAAGAAACAATGTACTGTGAAAACAAATGAATAGAATATAGGCATGAAAATGAATGCGATATTTATTAACTTCGATAAGTTTGATGTTACACTGGGGGGTAGGRAAGCCAAGCTATTAGAAGTAAAGAATGAGATCTCAAAAGTTAGAAAAGTTAAAAAGTTGTTCATGCAGCTTGTTCATAAAGTACATGGAAAATGTGAACTTAAAAAAAAAATCACAGGGGAAAAATGTTCTAATGCATTATAATCATCCCAAGTCTTCAATTTCAACAGAAGGATACTTTCACTGCAGAGGACAGTATTATGTCAGAGACTGAGGTTATCTTCCAAGAGATAGTTTTCAGAATATAGAATAAGGTCAAGTGAGTACAGGAGAGTGTTTTAAGAACCCTGTGACTCTGTGATTTATGCTCTTGTAAAGTTCAGAAAGCTTGGGATAAAGGGTAAAGGAGGAGCTGGATAGTCTTATGGCTTAGAAATTGTTAAATAGAAGAACCAACAAAATGGATACATTTGCTGATCAGTGAAGGAAAAGAGCATGGAATACTGAATACTGAAATATGAAACAGTGAAAAACTTCCCACAAGTAGCAAGCAGAGAAGCCACACACCACCACAAAAAAAATCCCCTCTTCAGATACCAGGTAGTTTCCCTTAAAAAATGTGTGTATATGTGATGTAAGACCTCTTTTTGTAGTGCTATTTGAATTGTCTAGAGTAGAAGGTATTTTCTTGCAGAATACTCAAAGATGCCTTGAAAGGCAGCACAGACTAAAGATAAGATACTTGGGGGAGAAAATAATCATTAAGATCATAGAAATCACTTTCAGATTGGAAACAAACTCTACATATCTACATATATGTGTTTAACCTCTCACTATAAAAACTCTGACTGCTCCAATCAGACCCAGAGTAGGAATGTAGGCACAAAGTGCACATGCAGGTACCTACAAGGAAACAAGATCRTTTAAGTGTCCAAATCTCAAACCAAATCCCACTAGCAGACACTAGAAGAAATTAGGGATGCATGAAAGTACCATGAAAGAACTAAGATTCCCTCAGAGACCTCCAGTGCACTGGAGCAGGAGTTACTTAGAATGAAAAGTCATTTAAGGAAAACAAATTGAGTGTGTCATGGACACCATGAAAACATGCTTTAACCTCAGTGCATCTATGTGGAAAAATTTGGTTTTATGCTAATTGAAACCATTTACTTCCATTAGTCARGATGGAAGTACCAGCAAGAATCTGAGCTGCATTCACCAGTTTGGGAGAGCAATCTCAGTTCTTCTGCAATGTAGTGGCTACAGCACTGGAAAGGGTGAAAAGATATGTAGATGAAAGGAAACAAAAAGAGGAAGAGGTAGATAAAATAGTCAAGATGCTTCACAAAAACTTATTTAACCTTTTCAAAAACTTCTTAGTAACTGTTGTGGCATGGAAGACTAGAGATATTTTTTCCCAGATATTTAGTATGATGGAAAATTTGATACAATAGTGGATGGAGGGGATAGAAGMCAGAAAGTTTTAAATGCACTGACCAGAGAGCCAATTAAACAAAAATACCTGGAGCAAAGTCTMCATCTACTTTATATTTCATGTTAATAGGTGAAATAAATACAACACCAGCAAAATGTTTGTGGCTTGAAGTGACTAAACTAGAGCAAAGATGTACCAAAATGGAATAGAACCACTAGCTAATTAAGGATGTAATGCCACAATGCTCATTTCCTTGGCTGCCACCCTCACTTTCCTAAGAAGCTCAAGTACCAGATGAAGTTTTGGTGACAAATTTGGCAAAATTTAAGGTATTAAGAAAGTGCTGTCTGTGAGTGCTCTGTGTGTTAGTATGGGATGTGTGTGGCTCTTCATTAACACAAATATATATATATATATATGGATACAGCAGCTTTTTTATGTGCTCTGCCTGCATGTGCCTACTGGGGATATGTCTTCACCTTCACGACTGTCTGGACCTGGCCTTACAGAACTGCAGCAGCCTCCCCTCTCCTGGACTTTCAGATCCAGCTCACTRTATTTTCACCCAAAAAATCAAAGCAGATGATGCATTACAATGACAGTGCTAAGGTTTTACTTAAAAATTACCCTATGTGCAAGYCTAAGACTGTAGATGACTTATTCAGACATAGGTGTTTGGTGAAAGTAACTTGAAAATCTGTATTTTGTTAAATTTGTTTTGAGAGGAAAGAGATGGACATAGTCTTGGAAGTGACACCACTGATTCTGTGGCACAAACCCCATTTCACACAAGGCATATAAACTGGGGTTGAATCCAACTCATTTAATTTGATTTAATGCTAGTTAAAAGAGATTCCTTAGGGTCTCCAGATCATGGAACTTTTTTAGCATGGAGAGAATCATCCTCTCCTTCTCTTGCTTGCCATGGAAGTTACAAATCAGCTGATTTTYAAAGAGCTAAATTTGAAATCAATGCCCCCATTAGAAACCAGATACAGAATGAAACAGATCCGTCGGTGTATTTGCACTGTAAAGACTAAGATAGGACTCATATGCCAAGTCATATTTCTGTGGCTGCTCTTTTCATTGCTTCTGCTGGACACAGAATGAAGTTAATTGCCACTAAATAGTCCATACTAGCATTGAATTTAAAGAATAACAACATAAAAACTATGAAGATAATATGCAACTTCCTCTTTTGCTGAATAAGTGCATTCAAAAAGAAAYAATAATAATAAAACTAAAATCAAAATGCCCGAATAACATATTTTAACTCTAGGTCAGCCATGAAGCAATTAGGAAGTTGGACTACATGATCATTGCAGGCTCCTTCCAAGTGAAAATATCCTACTTGAAAAGCAAAACTTCAAAATTTATAAGAAATATTTCTTCCATGCAAGTAATTAGGGATACACTGCTATAGAATTTMCAATGGATCGTCTGAGGTATTAGGGCCTGACAAACATCACCCTGGAAAAACATCAAAGTATTCTTTCCCAAAGGCAAGTTTCCCTTTATTATTAGTTTTTGACCCTACTAGTCCTTCCAGAATGTTCAGAATGATTCAATGTTCTTCAGTCTTYTTATTTTCTCTTCTCCCCTAATTAATTCCAATTGATTGTCAAGTCACAGTTGGTTTTAGCTGCAGTTAATTCTTGATTTTAGTGCTGGTCCCTTCCCTTCTCTTCTATTTTCTCATMGGATCATGGTCACACTTAAAGTTTTAGCCAGTTTTCTTGTTTCCAGTCCTAACTTCCTAAATGCTGTTTGTGGTTTTCAGTGTACAGGTAATTGTTGTGATTTTTTAATTATAATAATGCATTAACATCATTACATAATTTGCTGTAAATGGTTCTCACTGTGTCTCAATTGCTGAAGCTGTTAAAATCACATTAAGACAATTGTTCATAGACCATCACTGAGTAAATAAGATGCCCTTGRTAATGTATACAAATACRTTTTATTTGCTTCTTTAAGGCAAATTAGTATGAACACAGAAAGCACTTCCCTCATCTCTAGTGGAGGAGGACTGAAGTACTTTACATTGATATTATGAAACTAATTTCAGGCAAAAATTACCCTGTTACCTCATTAAATCTGAATGAAATTGCTTTTCATTTTGGTCATCCTCACAGCTTCCCTCTTCTCCACCCACCTTTATCCCACCCTTCTACATTTCCCCCTTGGTTCTGCAGAGAGATTTCTGACTCCATTGATGTTTTTCTTCACGTACAGGCTTTCAGATATAAACACCTCATGGAGAGCAAAGCTCACACAAAACAACCACCTGCACCTACATTGTGCCTAAACAGGTAAATGGGAACAGAGGTGAGGTCTAGTGCTGACTACCCTTGTGCAAATTCTTTCACCTTTTACTGGACAAAGTCTATCTGCAACCATGAAGTGATCAGCTGAATAACTTATATTTGATTATATCATTGCTAAAATTTCATGGGAAGAAAAAACAAGGGTTAAAAAAGTATCTTGCTTATAAAAAGGATTAAAAGTTCATTGATTTTTCATTCTACTATTGCTTGAAATAAAAAAAAAAAATTCTGATCCTACCTCTTCACAGGCGGTCCTGAAATCCATGTGCTATGACACAGCAAGTGATATTTGTCTAAAATGGAGAGAAAGRTTTCATTAGAATGAAAAAGGCATAGCAAAACATAAAAGTTGTCTGTCTGAGATGAGCAAATGTACTCCTCTATGCTAGGTCCAGTTATAGCCATTGCTTAAAAGGAGAAATGATCAAAGTTGCAACAGGATTAGGAAGATGTTAGAAGTTGTTCCTGGTTCTTATAAAGTACACAACCCGGTCTCACTGAATACAATCAAAGGAATCCTTATGTTCCCACCACCTCCTCCCTTTCACAGGGCATTCAAACATACTTTTCTTACTGCAACTGTCAATTTCCTTTTTGTGTGTTTTTCAATCTTTGTTTCAAAAGTAAGAGTGTACTCAAAAGTAACAAAAATAAAGACAAGAAAGTGTTGCTCTTCAGTGCAATCCTTCTCTTAAAAGAAACTTTTTATTTTTCTTTTCAACCCTAATTAAAAACCAACACACACCAGTACCTTTTGTTTCATATTTTATTAATACACATAATGTCTCCACAGAGGCTGTGTCATTTAACAGTGTGCTTACTTTGCAGAAATATTTATGAGTTGAAAAACAAATGTTAGAAAAGTCAGGAATATGTGCGAGTGCTGGCAAAATGTCACACCAAAGCCTGACATTATTACTTTGCCTGGCCTTTACCTAAAGTGTATTYATCCCAATGCACACTTATGCATTCATTTATTTATGTGATAAAGCCACTGGAACAGGATGTTAGCAGAGGCCAATAAGCGTCACGATGTTGGGTCTGCTATAGAAACACTCATGCATCAGTCAGTAACATTTTCAGGAATCACAAAACAGTCCTGGATAAAACAGCAGTTTCATTCAATGGCTGGGGAAAAAAAAAAAAAAAAAAAAACAAAACAAACCAAACCAATAGTGTACCAAAATTATATCTATAAAGTATTTTACTGCTATTTTTTTTTTGTATTAATTATGTGCTTGGAATTATATGTATAGGTATAGAACTCAAAGTTCCAACACAAAATTTGCACCATTAGCCTAAGTTTAAACTAAAATGTAGAATTCTTCACATAATGAAAAAATTTAAGTCCTAATACTTGCAATAAAACTTCTTAATAATAATAAAATCTCTTCATTAAGTCTCTTGATTTACTTTGCTGCCCTGGATGCAGTTTTTTAGTACAGCACATATATGAGGTTAATGTTCTCTATTTATTGAGCTCCACCTCGTTCACAGCCTGTGCTCTAGACTAATTTCTAGCAGAGACAGCCTAGGTTGGCTAGGTTACAATTCAGAAATTYAAAAAAGACCCATCATTATTCCTTCCTTATCAGCTTTACAAGAGCATCAATATCCAATAACGACCTCTATCTGTAATTTTGCTCTCAAAAGGCTTATAAAATTAAGGTCACTATTACTGTTTCAAAGATTTTCTCTCTGGTGGGACAGTCATTGTGTTACTAAGTATATTTCCTTGTAATCTTTATGAACTCTTTTTTCAGCTAAGCTGAAGTGGAAAAGAGACTTTACTCACCTTAACCAAATATTCTGAGAACTTCTTAGCCGCCTGGAACTATAAGAGCATGTATCTTTGAAATATAAACTGAAGTAATGCACAGTGATCTCCTTTCTTGAAGATCACTGTGCCCTGATTCTGGCAGGTCACTAATTCCTACTGCAGTCAAAAGTTTATTCGTTTGTGCTATATTCTACCTTATTATTAAAAGTTGTGCAAAGTTTGGGTTTGGGAAATTTTGGTTCCACAGTCCATGATAATTCCACTTTCATTCTCTTTTAGCTGCTCTTYGATCTAAACCTTGTCTGATCCTGGTCATTTCCACAACTCAATGTTACTCCTTTTTTCTTCCTGTTGGTTTTTACGTATAATGCATTTATTTCCTTATTTCAGAAATATTTGTATTATCACATAGAAGAAAAGAACCTTTAGTAATAAAATATTGTATAAAACATAAAGTTGTRTCTGCATAATTCCCAAAACAAATTCACTGCACAGTTTATGTGTTTCTCAGGCAGGCAACATCTCAGTTACTAATCTTTGCAATATAGCTGCCACTGCTTCTGCACCCCTCTATTTCCTACCGATTCTCATCTGCAGCTGCACAGAGAATGTTCTTATCAATGTCCTTTTTCCTACTATCAGCAATTTTATAGCACTTGGTATTTTACAAACAGCACAYAGAAGGATTGATTACAAAGTGCAATACCTCATAAATCATCTCTGAAATGTCATTGTTTCCAGCATTTACACCCCAAATAAACACGCTAGATAATTAAATTACAGGAATTTGTATCATGCATCATGCAGAAATGTTACATCTCATGCTGGTAAAAGCCCCAATGATTACTAATTGTCTCCTCCTGTTATATATAAAACAGGCAGAAAATATAAACCTAAGTAATTTCAAAAATAAAATATTTGTAAAATGATAAATGGTGAAACCCACTGCTTACAGATATCCGYGACAAGCTTCTGGATAATCTCTGCAACCCCATCTCCAAATCATAGCCACTTTCACTTAAGTGACTTTCCACCTCTCCTAGGAACTTCCTTCACGGAATATTTAATTTTTTTTTCTTTTTTTTTTTTTTTCCCCCTCAACAGGCTCCATTTCCTGGCTGCCAATGGCTCCCTTTCTCAGCTTTTTTTTTTTTTTTTTTTTTTTCCCCTCCCCACCATTAGCTTTCTCTGGGACAAACTGTGCTTCAGAATGTGAGAAAGGAGCTGCCTGTGGCTTTGCATTGAGGAGGTGCAGAGGAAACAGCTTCAGGACAGAGCCTGGTTTCCAGGCACAGAGGGAGGCATGAACAGCATGTATCACTCAAAGACAAAGGAGGGCTCCAAAAGCAGTGTGATTTTCTCTAAGGGTGCTGGGGACCACTGAAATCAAAGATATATAGACAAGCAAGCTCTGAAAAGTTATTTCCTGTCCTTTTGACTTGACTTGCAATCTGCATCTCCTCCAAAACGGAGTTATCAGACCTATTTAGTTCACCTCTGCTGATGGATGTAAAAGGAACAYTGTGTGACAGACAGGTTGGGAAGAGACTTTGACACCCCCTTGGCAGAAAAAGCAGTTATTCAATACTGAAGAAACATTTACCAAGCAGTATKATTATGGCACTTGTGTTCTAAAGGGAAATCAATGGCTAAAACATAATGGCAAAGAGGAAGGCTATGGCAGCCCTCAGAGACAGAGCCTCATTTAGGATAATGCACTGAGCACTTGAGCTGTGCKCTGATCTTCTTATAATAAATCAGGTCATATTCCAGTGCTATAATAGATGCAATTTCACAAAGTACTTCCATGACTGAACACTCCAGTATACTTAATGAAATAATATAGCAAAAAGAAAATTTCTTGTGCACACAACAGTAAGAGGAGACACTTTGTCAAGTGTAGGGAATACCACAAGCRAAATAAAATACTATTGAAGTAGAAGGAGGAAAAACTTCATTCTCAGGGTCTGGTGAAAAGTAAGAATGCAATGCAGTATGCCAAAATAACAAGTTTTCAGAGAAATTATACAATATCAAATGCAGTTTCATGTTAATATCACTGCAGCTTGTATATATCTTACTTGATGCAGACAAATCACAGGAAATTCTTATTGTCTGAGAAATGCCTGAACTGCTCATGGGGAAAGAGACTAAAACCATGTTTCAGAGTCACAAATACCAAATCAACAAATTCTTATGATAATAGTTCACCACTAATGTTTGCCTTTTCAAGTCCTCCTACCTCCATTCTTGCCAGCACATTTTGGGCTCTATATTGTCAAAATGACTGAAGAAAATCCTATCTATTCTTTTTGTGTATGTTAGAGAATTAAACACTCACACACACATTTGTAACTCTGCAGGGCCTTTTTTTTTTTTTTTTTTTTTTTAGCAGTATTAAAACTAAACCCAAAACTTCCTCTACTATAAATAGGGTAAGTAGATTCAGAAATTATCCTTACACATAGCATAGTTAGTCCTTTGTGCTTTACAGGAAATAAAAGTATCTCTGGAAAAAAAGAAACATTACTTCAAATGCAAATTCTATGATGGCATTTACATTCCACCCAGCTCGCCACGAGGTGTTTGGTAGTGGAAGAGTGGTCAGAGGCTTGCAGACACCACAGTAAATCAAAAGAGCAGTTGAGTAACTGCAGATTAATAAACCCTCATTCAGTTATTGCTTTCCAGCACACTTGAATTATACTTTGAACATGGAGTTACTTATGYTCAGTTAACATAATGATTTTTAATAATTTACATATTGGACTTATTGGCTGAAAAATTTCTCAGCGAGTTGGGAACTGACTAGATTCAAACATTTCCTCATAYATCCTCACAAAGTTCAATACATGAAGGGGGATCTGTACGTCCATTGCACAGAATTAGTTTTAATAATTTAAGTAGAAGGATGCTCACAAAGCTGGAGGACCCCAAGCTGYATGTACCTCAATCTCTCTGATAGTGCAAGGTCTGAGATGACCTTTGGAATCAGCAAACCTGCACACTTCTTTGGCACGGAGGAAAATAATTACCTGACAAAGCTTTTTAACTAAATGTCCAGCTCTTAGCAAAGCTCATGCTTCAAAAGAATTGAAGTTGGCAATTAGTAGCTAACATGGTTTTTAATGTTTTGTTCATTTTACCTTGGTTAAAACAAGTATGGTATTTATCTGCCAGTCATAATTTATTATTTTAGAGGCAAGCATACTTAATATGCGAGCCAAATTAATGATTCTCTCTATGAACAACAATTTTTCAATAGTCAGTGATCCACAAGGCAGTATTAACTGAATGAATGCATCTTGGGCTCCTGTTTGCTTATTCAGTGCTGTTTACATTAAAATTATCTAGTGTCCCCCAGAAAAAACACCCACAAAATGATTTAACTACTCTCCCAGTCTGTTCTGACTTGGCAAAAAAAANAAAAAAAAAAAAAAAAAAAAAAAAAAAAAAAGAAAAAAAAAGAAAGAAAAAGAACAGAACAGCACAGTACACAATCTTTCAGAAGAA